TGGGGACATTGGGGACATTGGGGACATTGGGGACACAGTGACTCCTGCGCCCAGTGCACCATGGTCTGCGAGATCAGCTCCTGCAGCGTGCCTGGGGACGGGGACAGTGGGGACATTGGGGACATTGGGGACATTGGGGACACAGTGACTCCTGCGCCCAGTGCACCATGGTCTGCGAGATCAGCTCCTGCAGCGTGCCTGGGGACGGGGACAGTGGGGACATTGGGGACACTGGGGACATTGGGGACACAGTGACTCCTGCGCCCAGTGCACCATGGTCTGCGAGATCAGCTCCTGCAGCGTGCCTGGGGACAGGGACAGTGGGGACATTGGGGACACTGGGGGTATCGGGGACATTGGGGACACAGTGACTCCCGCGCCCAGTGCACCATGGTCTGCGAGATCAGCTCCTGCAGTGTGCCTGGGGACAGGGACAAACAGGGACATTGGGGACAGCAGGGACAGTGGGGACATTGGGGACATTGGGGACATTGGGGACATTGGGGACACAGTGACTCCTGCGCCCAGTGCACCATGGTCTGCGAGATCAGCTCCTGCAGCGTGCCTGGGGACAACGGGGACATTGGGGACATCAGGGATATCAGGGACACTGGGGACATTGGGAACAATGGGGACACAGTGACTTCTGTGCCCATGGTCTGCCAGATCAGCTCCGGCAGCGCCGCCACCTTGGGGACATCTTGGCCAGCACCTTGGGCACAGTTCGGCCAATTTTTTAGGGACATCTTGGTTGGCACCTTGGGGACAATTTGGCTGTGTCTTGGTGACATCTTGGTTGGCACCTTGAGGACACCCTGACCAGATCCTTGGGGACACCTTGTGTGTCACCTTGGTAACACCCTGGTCAACTCTTTGGGGACACCTCGTGTGTCACCTTGGTGACACCCTGACCAACTCCTTGGGGACACCTCGTGTGCCACCCTGATGCCCCCTTGGCCGCGTCCCGGACACAGCTGAGTGTCCCTGTCCCCACCCCGCTGTCCCCTCCTCACTGGGCACCGGGGGCTCCTCGGGGGGGGTCTCCTCCTCCTTGGGGGGTCCCCGGACCCCCACCACCTTCTGCACCAGCCCCAGCAGCCGCTGCCGCAGCGACGTCTCCTCCTCCTCCTCCTCTTCCTCCTCCGTCAGCTCCACGCCTGGGGGACACGGTGGGGGGGTCACAGGGGTGTCCCTGTGTCCCCATGTCCCCAAGGCGGGGGTCTCAGGGTCCCTGGGTGGAGTCCCTGCGCTCCCGGGGGTCTCTGGGGTCCCACAATGGGGGTCCCAGTTCCTTTGGGGAGATCCCAGTTCCCCTGGGGGTGTCCCCAAGGCCAGGGGGCATCCCCATAGCCAGGGGGGTGTCCCCAAACCCTAGGGCATTGTCCCCAAGCCCAGGGGGTGACCCCACACCCCAGGGGGTGTCCCCATGCCCAGGGGGGTGTCCCCATGCCCCAGAGGGTGTCCCTAAGCCCAGGGGGGTGTCCCCACACCCTAGGGCATTGTCCTCACACCCCAGGGAGGTGTCCCCATGCCCAGGGGGGTGTCCCTGTCCCCCCCTCACCGCAGTGGGCCAGCAGGTCATTGTGGAAGTCCAGCAGCTCGTCCCGGATGTCCCCAGGCACGGGACACTCCTCATCCTCAGCCCCCCCCTTGTACTGCATCAGCATGTTGATCTGGGGACACAGGGACACGGGGGGACACGGGGGGACAGCAGGTCACGGGACCATCCCTGTACACCCCTCCCTGTGTGCCCCACATGTCCCCATGTCCCCACCAAATCCCCCTGTTCCCCACATGTCCTCCCGACGTGTCCCCATGTCCCCCCAGCATGTCCCCTTGCACATCCCAGCCAAGGCCGTGTCCCCAGGGGTGTCCCTAAGGTGTCCCTGCAGTGTCCCCATCCTGTCCCCACTTTGTCCCTGCTCTGTCCAGCTCTGTCCCCATTCTGTCCCCGCACTGTCCCCACTCTGTCCCCCCTCTATCCCTACTCTGTCCCCTTTCTATCCCCACTCTGTCCCCTTTCTATCCCCACTCTGTCCCCACAGTGTCCCCGCGCTGTCCCCACTCTGTCCCCATTCTATCCCCTCTCTATCCCTGCTCTGTCCCCATGCTGTCCCCGCTCTATCCCCCCTCTGTCCCTGCTCTGTCCCCATTTTATCCCCACGCTGTCCCCACGCTGTCCCCACTCTGTCCCCGCTCTGTCCCCACGCTATCCCCCCTGTATCCCCGCTCTGTCCTCTTTGTCCCCGCTCTATCCCCCCTCTATCCCCGCTCTGTCCCCATTCTATCCCCGCTCTATCCCCCCTCTATCCCCGCTCTGTCCCCACTCTGTCCCCACAGTGTCCCTGCTCTATCCCCGCCCTGTCCCCCCTCTGTCCCCACGCTGTCCCCGCGCTGTCCCCGCGCTGTCCCCACCTGCTCCTGCGGGGGCGAGCGGAACTCGCGGGTGCGCCGCGCGGTCTCGGCGGCCGACATGGTCAGAGCCCGCATCAGGCGCCCGTAGCGGCGCCGCTGGTCCCGCTGCAGCCGCTGCACGTGGCGCTCCGAGAAGGCCACGATGGCCTCCACACGGTGCTGCAGCTCCCGCTCGCACAGGTGCTGCAGCAGGTGGCACATCTGCGGGGACACGGGGACATCAGGGACATCAGGGACATGGGGGACACAGGGACCTACACACGGTGCTGCAGCTCCCGCTCGCACAGGTGCTGCAGCAGGTGGCACATCTGCGGGGACACGGGGATGTCAGGGACATCGGGGCACTGGGGACATTGGGGACACAGGGACCTCCACACGGTGCTGCAGCTCCCGCTCGCACAGGTGCTGCAGCAGGTGGCACATCTGCGGGGACACGGGGACATCAGGGACATCAGGGACATGGGGGACACAGGGACCTACACACGGTGCTGCAGCTCCCGCTCGCACAGGTGCTGCAGCAGGTGGCACATCTGCAGGGACATGGGGACATTGGGGGCACTGGGGACACTGGGGCCATTGGGGACACAGGGACCTCCACACGGTGCTGCAGCTCCCGCTCGCACAGGTGCTGCAGCAGGCATCAGGGACATTGGGGGCACTGGGGACACAGGGGATTGGGGACACAGGGACCTCCACACGGTGCTGCAGCTCCCGCTCGCACAGGTGCTGCAGCAGGTGGCACATCTGCGGGGACACGGGGACGTCAGGGACATCGGGGACAAGGGGATGTCAGGGACGTCAAGGACACTGGAGACATCAGGGGATGTCAGGGACACGGGGACATTGGGGACAGAGGGACCTCCACACGGTGCTGCAGCTCCCGCTCGCACAGGTGCTGCAACAGGTGGCACATCTGCGGGGACACGGGGACACCGGGGACATCAGAGACATCGGGGACATGTCAGGGACATCAGGGACATTGGGGACATCAGGGATGTAGGGGGATTGGGGAGATGAGGGACATTGGGGACACCATGGGGATGGGGACTGGGGACCCCAGGACATCGCTGGGGAGGGGACAAGGACACCGGGGAGGAGAGCCCAGGGAGGGGACAAGAGGTGATGGGTGTCCCTGGGGGTGTCCCTGGGGGTCTCCCTGGGGGTGTCCCCGGGGGTGCCCTGGATGTCCCTGGGTGTCCCTGGGGGTGTCTCTGGGTGTCCCTGGGCATCCCTGGAGCTGCCTCTGGGGGTGTCCTGGGTGTGTCCCTGGGTGTCCCTGGGCGTCCCTGGGCGTCCCTGGGTGTCCCTGGGGGTCTCCCTGGGGGTCTCCCTGAGGGTGTCCCC